TGAGGATGTGGGCTGCTAAAAATATGTGGAAATGAAGAGACTGGGGCAGGATAGACGAAAATGGAGGACCACATCAAACCAGTCGAAAGACTGATGACAAACAAACAAACAAACAAAAATTAAAACGATTCCACCAGTCTAATGAGAATACGCTATGGCAGTAAAGAAAATTAATATTTTATTGTCCGGGTTTCCTGATGAAGGTTCATAGACGATTTGTTTCGGCTGACTACATTACACGCACTGAAATTTATGCAAACTACTGTGGTAAGCCGGGGCGTGATGCTGACCACTTACCCCCATCGAGTGCCGAGGTCAAGAATGAGTAGGAGCTATGCCTCCACTCCCCCCCCAAGTGCCTACATGGCGTTTCACGTAAAACAAAACTCAATGGAGCTCGTATGAGAAAAATATTCAACACTGAAAGGTAGGCTGTCTGACTCACCCTATAGTCTGTGCGAATCGGGAAGTCGGGTCACGCGGTGGAAACTGCCAACAGACTGAAACAGAATAGAAATTAACTGTTACAATGTTGGCCATTTTAAAATTTCGAATTGCGTAACAAAATAATGAGGCCCTTCTTTTAATGCGGTCCCAAATCATTACGTCTCCGCGTTATGAAGTCAGAATCAAATGACACCTTTTTAGTAATGGTTACATAACGAACAGAATGTCTGCCGGTATTCTATCTTTTACTTCCGAGAAAATATTAAAACATTTCAAGAAGAATCGAGATTGCCATGAGAAATTACACTGCCAAATCTTCGCAACCCGCGGTGTCTAATTAATCTCGATTGACTGACATCTCACACCACATTTGTTATCCATCATCTTCCGAACAAGAAACATAAAAGAGAAAGAAATAACTAAATATCGACGGCCTTTTGTATAGTCCAGGGGTTTTGAACCTTTCCTAGACCTATGACCACTTTCTCTCTTGTTTAAAATTGGAGGGCGAAATTTATAAGAATGTGGACAATTAATTTAAACTTCCTGGCAGGAAAAAAGCTATTAACTTGCTACTAGAAGTAAACCAGTCTTCAGTGAGAGATTTGTCACCATGCAGTACTCCATGTGTTCATCAGACACGTCCCAATATGACGTTTTTCACCATGACGAACAGTAGGTCGCAGCGAAATACTGACGACATTAACAAAACGTGTATTGTGACCTCAAGTAATTATTTTCATCATAAAGATTCATAAAATTTTTGCAAATGATATGGGGCCTCATTAAATACACCGGAGGGTCGCGGGTTAAGACCTCCTCACAGGGACTACGTAGACTGCAGGTTTCTGGAACATCAGCGCAGAGTCGAAAGCGAAGATTATGATGCAAGATTTGAGGTTTTCGCGGTGGTGTGTCCGAAGATGGCTGTCTTCTGGGTTGTAGCGCCCTGGTGATGGAGAATTTTGATAGGAAAGCCTGAAGGGATGACATCACATTGACCGCGTCGGAGTTTAGTTTTACGGTGGATCTTAAAACAGTCGAAGAGGATGAGGACTGGATTAATCTGGCTCAACAGAGGAACCAGTGGCGTGCTCTTGTAAACACGGTAACGAACCTTTGGTTTTAATTAAAGGCGAAAAATTTCTTTTCTAACTGAGCGAGTGTTCGCTTCTTCAAGAATGATTCTGTTTTATGGAGCTGTGTGTGCGCGGGGGAGGAGGTGGGGGCGAAATTTTGTGACTGGTACAAAGTATTTATTATAAACAGGAAGATATGTGACAACAGCAACTTGAAAACATTCCAGTGGAGTGACGTAACAGATTCAAGGAACACGAATTGCGACAGGAGGCAGGAAGTGCAACTGTACTCTGCGTCCTTTCAACAGATGCGATAAGTTATTAAGTACTTTACAACTACAGTGCACTAACTCCATGGAACAATCAAATATTCCCTCGCGTATACGGAAGGAAGCGGTTGTAGTCTTTTCTACTGTTCCTGTACCAGCCTTACATTGTTCTTTGAATATGGGAGGCGCTTACGGTTAAAATAGAACATAAGGGTGGCCACACACGCTACGACTTACCGGAAGGCTTACGTCTGTGAAGGCCAACCTTCCGGCAAACCGGAGCGTGTGTGTTGTCTGTACGTGTGTGGACTCTCAGAGGTTAGAGTCTTACCTTCCGACTTTAATCTTGGAAGGCAGGCCTTCCGGTAAGTCGTAGCATGTATGGTTACCGTAACAGTATTTGAAATGACTTTCAATCTGCTTTTTGGTCGGTTTAAATCTCGGTCAGAGAAAATCAGTCCCTAGTGACATCTACATTTGATTCTCAGAGTTTACAACATTAATTTTCTCTTTGTAATGGTGAAACGTTGTTTTCTTTGCGGTACGGAGTGATTTTTTTAAATAACATGTGCATGAGCTTCGGCTTAAGAGAGTTAATATATACTTCCATTAGATTTGTTCTGGAACTAACTTCGCATATTTACAATCTGCTTAAATACAGGGTCATGAGGAACCATTTGTCCCATTCGCCCTTCACCAGTAGGCCTCTGATGCGTATGACATCATGTGACTGAAATACGATACAGTAGTCATAAAGATAAAGCAGAATACAAGGAAATAGCTGATGGAGGTGGAGGCCATTTTGTGTAATGGCTCGAATGAGTCAGGGAGAGTAACTCGGGATATTGTCTCAACTAGAAAATACTAGCGCCTTGAAAATAAACCGTGGGATTTGATAAATCGTTAAGTTACAACTTACAATTTGCATTGCCAGGTGCGAGGGAAATGAGTGGGAGGATTCCCCTAAAAATAAAATACTAATTTAATAATTCAATCAGTAAATTGACTGATAGATAAATAGTCCAGAAGCATTAAAAATGCAAGTCAGTATGTTTGTGTGAAGAGTTATAATCAATTATAAGTAACTTAGAAATTATTCTGTATCCGCCCAAAAACTATCCAATTCAGATGCCTGTCGCATCCCTACCCCTCGCTGGAATACTAACCCTTGTCGGCTTTCTGAATATACTTATTCGTTACACGCGTAGTTACAATCTATTTCCGCAATCCGATAACGTGCTGTACCATGGTGGAAAATTTAGATTCTCATTATTCCCAGGTGACTGGAAGATATAGGCCACAATCTCAGGGGAAAACAGAGAGAGAGAGAGAGAGAGGCCTACAAGAAAATTTCTCGTTAAGAAAATGCTTTATATTATAGTGGCTCTTTCTTTGTTTATTTGTTTCTCTGCTGTCATTGACGGGATTCTGTGAACACGTGAAACTTTGTTTCACAAAATGAGAATTTCTTGACAACTTGGCCGCATAATCAACTTCTCAAGAAGTACTCTGCTTCGTGGAGTTAGTCTATTTCCACTGCTCTTCCTAAAAAAAAAATCCATCGAGAAACTGAAAAACGAAGAAAAATCTACAGTCCACAGATCAGGAGAAAATCCCTGCTAGGAATTCGATATACGCGCATGCGCAAGATTTCGCGGTCAGTGACGACCGATCCTAAAAGCATTCGTTCCACAACCACTGAACGAACAGCAGACGACAGGCTTTCATGTGTTCTAATGGGTACAGCTTTAAGATTACCTCACAGCGGCACAGCGATTTAATCTAGAATATTATCGCAACACCCGCAGAACACATTAGAGGTGCACTCACTACACGCTACTCTTAACTGCTTGATGTTTTCAGTCTGTGTGTAGTAGCGTAAAACTCTGACGTATCACACTTCCCACCAATAGCAGCCCTCTAGTCCAGCTGATAAGTAACATTCCCCCCGCACCGCACCAGAAACGACTTCC